CATGGATTGCATGTCTGTCTGTCTGTCCTGGAAAAGGGATCCCTCCTCAGTTGCTCTTCCTGAGGTTTCTACTGTTTTTTCCACTCGGTAAAGGTTTTTATGGGGAGGAGTTTTTCCTTATCCACTGTGGGGGTCCAAAGGACAGAGGGATGTCATATGTGGTTAAGCCCTCGGAGGCAAACAGTGATTTGTGATCCTGGGCTTTATAAATAAAATTGATCTGAATTGAATTGAATCAGAGACAGATTAGATAATGTGAAAATCCGAGAGCGCCAGCTGCTTCTCGTATCATATTCATTATTTAAAAAAGAAAATTACATACAATTAAGACAAGTGCAACTGTTTCATCTCATAGTGAAAGAGTATTTAACTCTCAATTGCTCCTGAAAGCGGCGGCTCTTGCTTTCACCTTAACGTGTTTTTGCAGTAGCCATATCTGCTACCACGCAGGAAATGTCTGCTGTTAGGTAGCCATTCCGTTTGCTTGTTTATTGTCTGTTTATGAAAACATATCTTTGTCTACAGACTATAAGATATAGATATGAGGTGAACAGAAGAAAATGCACGATGAGATTGTTTTATTAACCAATACATGCCACATCTAGTTTATTTTGAAAACTGAACCACAAGCTGTATAAAATTGATCCGCAGGCCATGATAAGCCCCTGAGCTGGACTTTGGACTAGGAATGGGCATCAATTTTCGATTATCGATGATTGATTTTTAAGGATTTTGATCGATCACAAATAATTTTGCTCGATAGTCGCAGTGTTCCCCTAATTGCAATCCTACAGGCCCTGTGAGCTGCCGTGCCTACGAGACCCCCCGCCGGACCTATTCCAGGCAAAAAATCAGAAATAGACGGAGGCTCTCATCGCTCTCCAAAGCCACGGCGGCTTCCCTTGAGGCCTCTGAAAACCCTATGCCATTGAAAGACGGAGGTTTCGCTGAAAACTGAAGCCTGTAACTACTGGCTGGCAACGGTTGTAAACACCCAGGGGTGAACTGCGCATGCGCGCCATTCTTTCTCTTTGGCCTGGGGGGTTGAAGCTCAAAACGGGGGCAGCTGCGCTCTCTTGCGGCGACAGTCTGCACTGCACTCTTGTTTTCTCTCTTTTGAAAAACTCGCTTATCAATTAATCAATAATTGATTGTTAATTTTTATGATGATCGAATAATGAATTTTGATCGTTTGCCCATCCCTACTTTGGACATGCCTCTGCCCTAAATGATGCTGCTGTATATGGGTTGTAATTATTCTTCCTTTGCAGAGGAAGGGCTCGTTTATAATACACTACTCAAAAAATTAAGGGAACACTTAATGGTCACAGTATAACACCAAGTAAGTTAAACTTCAGGGGTGTCAATCTTTACATTTAGGAAGCACAAGTGAGTGTGAATCTGCTTTGGTGCAAATGAAAGTGAAAACAGGTGCAATGGAGAGGCAAAAGCAAGACAACCCCCAAAAATGGAATGGTTTTACATGTGGTGACCACAGACAGTTGCTCTCTCCTTATCCTTCCTGACTGATTCTTCTCTAGTTTTGTGTTCTGCTATTGTCCACATTCATACGTGTGGTTGCAAGAAGGTTTGCTGTGCCTCCTAGAACAGTCTCGAGAGCATGCAGAAAATTCTGTATGAGACCTGCCATTACACAAGGAGAGCTGAACAGGGCCGTAAAAGGGCATCAACCCAGCAGGAGAGCGTATCTTCTCCTTTGTGTCAGGAGGAACAGGAGGAGCACTGCCAAAGCCTGTGCTCAAAGCATGACCGGTTTGGCTGTTGGGTCAGTGATTGTCTGGAGAGGCATATCCTTGGAGGGTTTCACAGACCCTGACTGCTGTTTGGTAGCGAGATGATATCCTCAGGGCGATTGTCAGACTTTTTGCTAGTGCAGTGGGCCCTGGGTTTCTCCTGGTACAGGACAATGCCCGGCCTCATGTAGCCAGAGTGTGTAGGCAGTTCCTGGATGACAAAGGCATTGATGCCACTGACTGGCCTTCTCGTTGCCCTGACCTAAATCCAATTGAGCACCTATGGGACATTATGTATTGGTGTATCCAATGCCGCCAATGCCCTGATCCAGGTCTGGGAGAATTTCCCCCAGGACACCATCTGCCAACTCATCAGGAGCATGCCCAGACACTGTCAGGAGTGCATACAGGCACGCAGAAGCCATACACACTACAGAGTCACATTATGGGTTGCCGTGATAAAATTCATGCAAGTTGGATCAGCCTGTGATTTCAATCTTTTACTGTGATTTTCGGTGGGATTTTAAATCCAGCCCTCAATGGGTTGATGATTTTGGCTTCCACTGACCGTTGTTATGTCATATTGTTTTCAACAAATATACAATGTACGTCAGTAAAGATCTTTAACAATTTTCCATAATTCATCAATGTTCATCGATAGTTCATCAAGATCTTTTGAGCAGTGTATAGTTTGATAGGCAGCTTGAGATAGCTGAAAGAAGTGAAATTAGGTGTCCTTTCATCTCGATATTTTATTGTTATTTACACCTGGCTGAGTATAGCACAAATAACTACCCAATAAATGTTGAAGCAAAACATTATAATACTCCTGTTGTGCCTCTTTCAAAAATATTTCTGACATTCTTCCAAGATGTAACTACTGTATGTTCATATTTAACGTGCTTTTGTTCAGGATTGTTATGTTCAACATCAACCTAAGGAGGCCCAGTTTGCCTGGTGGGCTTTCTGTTTGAAATCTTTTTCTGGCAGAATGTTTTTTTCCTAATCTTAACCAAGAAATCCCTTTCTTGCAGAGAGCCCACAAGGCAAACCTCTCTCAGAAGCACAAAAAACAGGAAGGAGAGGCAGGTGGAGCTGTTCAGCTTGGGTGGAGTCAAACACTTGACTGAGGCAACACCCTGAATAGCACTAGGCAGTGAGGGGTGGTTGGTACATACTGATTGAGTTTGTAGTATGCAGTACAGAATGTAGTACGCGATTTCAAAAACAACATATGCCTTGGCAAAATTTGCAAGATCCTATCACTCACCGTTGCATGTGCAGCGTGAGGTTCGGTGGAAGCGTGGTGAAACAAAGCTGACACGTGGTGTGCTGTATGTAGCCAGGTTATGTGAGTCCAAGATGATGCTCTGTTCGCACTGTGCGCCGCGACACTCCAGCCCCGAGCAGTTCTTATCCAGGATAGCTGACACCCTGAGGACCTCCTCCAGCTGCCGCCGTGATGCACTTAATTTCTGGGTAAGGTAAGCCGCCTTATAGTACCCGCCCCCTGCTGATTCCACGGCTACGAGCATGTCAAGTTGTTGTGTTCCTCCGACTGGCTGCAGACTGAGCAGGTGCAACATGTCCTGCTGTTGTGATGCGGCGGCCTGCTGCAGAACCTTCAACACGCTCTTCAGGTGCATTGCCACGAAGTCTTGTGGTGCCACGCTCTCAAAGCGCACCGTCACTGCCTCACGCAGCATCTCTGGTGTTGCCTGCTCCACATGCACACTCACGGGCACAGGCACAGCGAAGCGGCCATCACTAACGCTGGCATTGAGGGTGTATTTGCCTGCATCCAACCCGCCCAGGGCAATGATCTTGCCATCACGAGGACTGATCTTAAAAAGACTGCGCTGGGCTGGGGGGGCATGGCCAAAGGTCAGTGCATCATAAGGGTCAGCGTCGGTGGCGTGCAGCTGGCCAATCACACCGCCAGGAAATTCGTCCTCCATAGTGACAATGTGAACTTCCAGTGGCAACGCGACTGGTCGGTGAAGGCTCTCCTCAATCACTCTGACTTTCAGCGTGGAGGAGGAGGAAAGACGAGGCTTCCCTGAGTCTGTCACCTGGGAGGAGGACAGAGAACAGGGACAGCCCAGCAGATCATAGGAAAAGACAGGGGGAGAAGCAAGAAAAAATAAAATGGGAGTTAAGGAGAGGAGAAGAGGACAAGAGAAATGAATTAGTAATATGTTTTTGGTAACATCTCTACATTCTTCACATCTCAGTCATATCATTATTCGGTCAGAAAGTTCATTAAAGCAGATGACAGATCTTATCTGCAGAGGTGGGTTTGTGAGTCACATTTACTGCATTAAATGTACTTAAAGGTCCAGTATGTAGAATTTAGTGACATCTAGCAGTTAGAGCACAAAATTGAAATATATCCAGTGTGCCAAGAGTGTAGGAGAACTACAGTGGCAAATGCAAAAATGTGGATCACCCTGTCTGGAGCCAGAGTTTAATTTGTCTGTTCTGGGCTACTATAGAAACAACATGGCAGACGTTGTGAAAGAGGACCTGCTCCATATGTAGATGTTAACAGCTCATTCGAAAGCAATGAAAATGAAACGATTCTTAGTTTCAGGTGATTATATGAATAAAAACATAGTTACGAATATTATATTCAATTTCTGTCAATATAACCCTGTAAATCCTAAGTAAGTAACATTTTTGAGTATATTGTAGATAGTTCTAAAGCAGCATATTTTTGATTTTACTGAGGGAGGTTTTTAGAGAAAGGAGATCATTATTTTCATTATATATCACTTTTATTCATGCTACTTTCTTATGCCTTTGCACTGGCAATAGCAGTGTGACTTTGCATTTGTGTCATTCTCATGAATAAGATATCTCAAAAACACCTTAAGGGAATTTATTTAAATTTGACACAAACTTTCACTTGGACTAAAGAAAAAAATGATTAGAATTTTGTGGTTGAAGGTCAAAGGTCAAGGTCAGTGTAACCTCACAAAATATAACTCAAGAATTTTATGATAATTATGACAAAACTTCACATAAATGTCTTGGATAAATTAATGAAGCGATGACATTTTATATCCAAAAGGTCAAAGGTTAGCTTCACTGTGACATCATAATGTTCTGCAGACTTTTCTGGCCATTATTCAATGTTATATTTCAGGAACAGAAGGGGAGACATTTGGTTAGATACTAAATTGGTGACACTAATCTTGGGTGTCCACCTTGAAACTGTGCTGATTGTGTAGATATTCTGTGCTGTTGAGGGGCCGATGGGTATGAAACATCCATTTTTCACAGACATGGATGTAAACCATAAGAGAAAGTTAACTGGTGCACAGAGGCATACAACCGATTATTCTAGTTTAAATATTGTGCATTTATACACATTCCCTGTAGATGCTGGTGGTCTGCTGATCTCAGATCTGCTCAAGCTCTGTTATACAGCAGCCACGCCCCCTCATAACTCAGGTTCAGATGAGACAAAGCATCCTTGACCTGACTGTTTTCTTTTTCCACTGTCGGTATGGTTCTAAATAGCGCTAGTATTAACAGACCACAGTATAGAGTGCAGCGAGCTGGTGTGAGGTCAGCTTAGAGTCATGTTGTCACTGAACTGTCACAGAGCAGTGTTTCTGTTGTGTAAATGCTTAAATGTTAACACTATAAACAGCCACTGGGCTATATTGTGCTTCAAAAGTACTCCTGATGTGTGGTGTAATGTAAATATTAAAGCTAACGTTGTGTGTCTTTGCGAAGAAACTGAAGAAGTGATCATAATCTGTATTTCTGAGGAAATTATTGATGAAACGTCACATCCTTATCTCCTTAGCTTTAAGGAGGCATCTGATATTAGACATTTTTAGAGTGATTTGGCCTCTTGCTGTATACATTTGACTGGATGTGTTGGACTGATACCTGATCTGTGGGTGTCTGTGATGGGAACTAGGACATTTATACTGGAATTATCAAAGTTAAAGTCCATCCATATCTGATATTCTGATTTATTTGCCAAATCATTATTTTATATTATATAACCATGCAGCTAAGAATGTAATTTTGAAAAATGTCTTTACACCACAGAGATACAAGTGGAGACATTTAGTGTATTTCAGCTTCATCCATCACTTAAATTTCAATCAACTTTTCAACTGATTTTATCTCCTACTTTTAAATTGATAGTGTTAACAAATGTACGATTATCATATTTGTATAATAATGTTGCCCTCTGTACAATGTGTGATTAGTAATGCAAAAAAGTATGATTATTGGACCATTTTGTGATATTTACAATAAGAAGTTGGTTTGTTCTATCTCATTTGAATTCATTTCCCACCAGGGAGCAAAACATGGATCCTATGTATGTGTTTACTCATCTCTTCTCAGGTGATCTCTGTCTAGCCAGTCATGCTTGGTGTAGGCTATGATGAGTATAGCTGTCATCCTAGACATTAAGCTTTCTTTCTAAGGTATTCTGTGTTCTAAGATGAGTTGTTATGAATACACCAGTGATTTATTTAATTAACTTATCTTATGGCCTTAACTGTTTTCATTCAGAGAATGAACTGGCTTCCAGTTGTGCTGTCATGTAATTTTAATTTGCAATAGTATGCTACTGCAAAAAAATATTGTCAGACTTTGTAGGCTTGTCAAAGAGTCATAAAAGCTTCAGCTGAACTTAAGAACACATTTTCACACACTATCAGCTCTATCACAAAAAAATGATGAAAAAACATGATGTATAGTTTGAGCTTACATTTGTCCAGAATGAACAGGCCATGATTGTTTTTGCTAATAGCTAACATTGTTCACAGATTCACAGCTCTATTTTTGAAACCAATGTGATGCTTGAGAAGAGTGACTACAGCAGCTCTGCAGGTTTGATGTGAAACAGGAGTTTGACTCTACCCGTATCAGAATAACATATTCAGTGGCCAGGTCCCTCCTGAACACTTGATTGGCCACTAGTGTTCCATCTTTCTCCAGCAAAAACTCTCCGCCTTCGTTTCCTGACAGGATGTGGAAGTCAAAGGGTGGGCCATTGTGGGAGGAGTCCTGATCAATGACGGACAACTGCAGGATGCTGGTGCCGATTGGCTTGTTTTCCTAAGGGAGGAGATGCACCATTAGAAAGTAAAGGTGTGCAGATATGTCAAAATCTCTGTCTGTTTAACCAACAAAATTATCTTTCTCTGGATCTGTATTCAGATAGAGGACCTCATGTGGGGGTGACTTATACTAGAAGTCACGTTTAATCGAGCAAATGTTGAAATTTGTAACCATATTTATTGGCAATGAAAATGTTGTGCCTCTAAAGCATCAAATTGATTTGATGATGTCATATAATCAATTATAAAAATAAAAATCTACATCTCCATACTCTCTTTTCATATCTCTCTTTCCCACTTTTTCTTTTTTTTTTTTCTCCACTAACTTTTATGAACATTCTGAATCCCAGTATTATGGAATACCATTAAAAATTAATCAAATAAATAAATATAGTTATGAAATATATCCTGAAATAAATAAATGAGGAAAAATCTATATAAAAATAAATGTAAACATAAATTAGTAAATACAGTTCAATAAATAAAAGGTTTTTATTTGTTTACTTTTATAAAAACAGGACATTTCTTTCAGGACTAGTTCTTTTATTTAAAGGGACTTATTTTGGACTATTTGGGGCCTCCCTAGTGTAGTGGTCAGAGCACTAGTCTTCCATGCAGAAGGTCCAGGGTCCAATCCTGCTGGGGTCAACGTCAGCAAAGGCATGCAGTCACAAGAAGTTCCCACCGCCGAATTGAACAGGACAAAATAAATCTGAGCCAAGTCCTCACCGAGGGCGCGTCTCAAGCCCATTGTAGACGGGAGGTTCCAGACGTAAAAGCGGATTCACTTTATTTGGGCTATTTAAATGGGGGAATAAACACATACAGCTAAAAACTACGGGTTCTAAGCTTCATTTTGAAGGATAACATCCAGGGATTTGAAAGAAATCCAGCTGCCACACCAGGCTTTTGTCTCATCACTCCTGCACAATTTGTTGGAGGAGTGAGCAGTATCAGTCAGCTGTCAGCCTGCTGCCTGCTGTGCGCTGACGTGAAGGTGATAAGAATATGGGGATCACTTTTCAATAATGTGTAATAAATGAAATGTCTTGTTAATGGAAGTCCTACGTTGCAAACAGAATGGGCATTTTTATCTTGTGGTCATCCACAATGATATGAGTCAATTTAAAGAAACAAACATGTCAATGGTGACTTTTTTTTTCAGAGTAATAGTGACCAGCTTTTGGCACAATAAATATCTTCTCCATCGCATTATTTGTGCTCTCCCAAATACTGTATTTAGATTTGGGTACATCCCTTAGACCTCCCTGTTTGAGGTTACATTATGCATGGTCACAATAAAAAAAAATAAAAAAACTCAACACCATCTACAGCAACCTGACCACCTCCCCTCCCTTCCCGACCCCTCCACCTGCTCTTCCCCCCACCTCCGTTCCACCACTGTCACACTTCCCCCCACTGACCCCTCTCTCTCTACATCAGTTCACAAACCAGTCCCTTCCTCACTTGTTAAGTCCTGTCTCCCTTCTATCTCCCCACTCATCTCCAGAATTATCAATGCCTCCCTCAGCTCCGGCTCAGTCCCTGATCCGCTGTCACCCCTATCCTCAAAAAAGCCTGACTCAATCCCGACATCATGACCAACTTCCGGCCCATCTCCAACCTCCCCTTTCTGTCAAAAATCCTGGAGCACGTTGTTGCCACTCACCTCAAAACCCATCTCACCTCCAATGACGTATTTGAGACATTTCAATCTGCTTTACAGTCACAACACAGCACTGAATAAAGCTCTTCTCAAAGTCACCAACGACCTCCTCTTCTCCGACAACTCATGCTCGACCTCACTGCTGCGTTTGACACGATTAACCACTCCACCCTCCTCTCCCGTCTTAAAACCTGTTACAACATCACTGGCACGGCTGTCTCCTGGTTCAGATCATATCTCTCCAACAGACAGCAATTCATCCATTTCAATAACTGCACCTCCTCTACCAAGGTGTGTCCCAAGGCGTCCCCCAGGGTTCTGTGCTTGGTCCTCTCCTTTTCATCCTCTACATCCTCCCGCTTGGTAACATCATCCGCCGATATGGCCTCCATTTCCACTGCTATGCCGACTATGTCCAGATCTACTTCTCCACCAAATCCATCACTACAGCAATCTGCTCCACACTTGAAAATTGCCTCACTGAAATAAAATCCTGGATGCAAACTAACTTTCTACAACTCAACTGTGACAAATCAGACATGATCCTAATCGGCCCCAGTTCCCTTACTAAAACCATCCGTAATTTCAGCCTTAATGTTACAAATTCTACACTTTCTCCATCTCCACATCTACGCAACCTTGGAGTCACTTTCGACAGCAACCTTTCATTTAAACCGCACGTTAATCATATCACCAAAACCGCTTTCTTCCATCTAAAAAACATAGCTCGGCTCCGCACCTCACTCACCTTCTCCACTGCAGAAACTCTGATTCACTCATTCATAACATCCAGACTCGACTACTGCAATAGCATTCTGTATGGTTCATCTTCTAAAGTCCTCAACAAACTACAGTACATCCAGAACTCTGCTGCCCCTCTCCTCAAACAGTCCCGCTCCTGCAACCATATCAGGCCCGTCCTTCAGAACCTCCACTGGCTCCCAATTCCTCAACGCATTCAGTTCAAAGTCCTTCTCCTCACCTTCAAAGCCCTCCATAACCAGGCCCCATCTTACCTCACTGACCTGTTGCACCATCACACCCCCTCCTGCAATCTCTGCTCCTCTGATGCATATCTCCTCTCTCTACCACACAGGACCAAGCACAAAACCTGGGGGGACAAAGCCCTCTCCACTGCTGCCCCCTCCCTCTGGAATTCTCTACCCCAACACATCCATAACTGTACAGACTTAAACTCCTTCAAATCTTTGGTCAAAACCCACCTGTTCAGGCTTGCATTCAATCCAGATTCTTGCTCTTAACTGTGTTTTGCTGTTCTTATGTTGTTTTTATCTTGTTTTTGTAAAGTGTCTCTGAGTGTTTTGAAAAGCGCTATACAAATAAAATGTATTATTGTGACATTATTATTAATATTATTATTATGATTGATTTTGGGAAGATGATGTATTCAAAGAGAACTGAATAGTCATTTCATTTTTACGACTTTGAAAATACAAAGCCAGAATTCTTAGCACCTGTTCATATAACTGAGTCATTGGCACTGATAAGTAACCCTGCCACTCCCCTTTAACATATATCGTTTTAGTCAGTCCCTCTAGGAAATCCTAACGGCAAGATTTCAAATTGGTTGACTTCAACTACTCCCTGCATTATTAAACCTTGCTCAGTGCTTACAATTTCCAAATTCAATATCTTTTCACTATTTCACTTTGTATTCCTATCCCCCCACAGCTCAGTACATGTCCAGGGAAACGTGTACCAAAAAGATTGTAACTTTGGATGAAATACACTTGATCTTTCCAACTCAACAAAACCTGGAATTAAAGGTGTGTTTTAATTTTTACGTTATTATCAATATAAGTAAACTATTACTTTTGGCTGAATAAATAGTACAACAGATTAAGGTCTGCACAAGGATAAGTCCACTCCTACAGTTGGCTGGACAAAAAGTAGGTTGGTTCTCCACCTGGTGCTTATTCCCAGATCATACTGGAGACCTAAAAACTAAAGGCACAGAAATAATGTTCAATACATTTCTGAAACACCATGTAAAAACTTTCCAAAAACCTTTTTTCACCAACTTAAGTGAATGTACAGACAAATGGATTGGCTACTGGGATGTTTGGGACGAATTCCGATGGGCCAGTCACCATGTGGGCTAGTGAGACTAGTGCATGTCAAGCTAGTTGCTAGCTAACAGTACTGAAATGTGCGTCCTTCACATATTGTTTGTTTGCTGTGAGATGTTCAGAGGAAACGTAGGTGTCAGTCTTATGTTTTGATGCTCGAAGGAGGAGATAAGAGCGGCCTATTCCAATCTGAAAGAGGCTCTCATTTTACTTGAAATCTGATTTGCTCAGCCGCAGTCATCAGTCATAACTCATGGCAGACCAGGGTAGTTTGACCGTTAGACAGGAAACATGGATAAAGCCGGTAAAACAAGAAAGGGTGGCGCGGAAAAAAACTTGAAAAAAAAAAAACAACCCTTAAATCTTTACAAGTAGAGGCAGCAAAGTGCTCCAAAATAACCGACCCGTTTGGTTGCGGCCTTGGTTGACGGGCCGAGGCTGCTGGTGTTGCTAACGATGGAGATGGAGCTGGAGCCGACAGTGCCATTATAGCAGGTGCATTAACGTGAGCTAATGTACATGAGTGTGTAATGTGCAAGGTTGGCTTTGGCAAATTGCGTATTTCTTGTAGGTGTTCGGTTCAAGAGGCTAACTAGCCTACTAGGTATTGCATTGCATTGCAAGTCATTATGATTTAAACCTGCACTTTTTTCCAGTGGATGCATGCAGTTAACGTTAAGTGATGCTCCCAGTCCCAAGGACAATGAAGCTGAGGGACAAATTAACCCCAGTCGTGATGAGGAGGAGGATGAGACCAGAAATATGACAGGTGCAATGTGAAGGCACAGCCTACTATGCATTACATTTTAGCCAGAGGAAAAACTTTTTAGTAGTATTAAGTGGGATTCTTTTGTTGTAGTAGTAAGTTGACTAAAAGTTGACTATAGGGCCTATTGCCCAATTTATACCTCCTTAGTTCATGGATGTGAGCCATGGAGATATAAACTGGGGTTATGTAATATAAGAGCAGGGCTGGGCAGGGCAGGGCAGTCAATTATACTGTGCATAAAATTAGATGCATTAGAATAGAGTCATATGCTCTTATTTTAAGTTGAATAATAAGCGCACAGCCATTTGTGGCCAATTCATTATTGCATTTATTTTATAGTCTGGAATTAAACAATAACTGCTGATTTTCTTATGCAGTTGATTCTGAGGACAGTGTTCGTGTAGTGTGTACAAGCATATAGAGGATTATAGGTAGAAACGTGTGGGTCGGTGCGTGGGCTGGTGCGTGGGCCGGTGTGTGGGCCGGTGCGCCTGAATGTCCCGGGCTGAATTTGTGTCCCAGTCCGCCGCTGTGTACAGAGGTTTTCTAATCATCATCAAAAACCTGCTAAAAATCGGCAATAGACTCCTCTCCTATTGCCAGTAGTCTAGAGACATGTACACAGTTCTGCAGCACACCTTTACAATTTTTTTAAACTGGTGTGTCATGTTTGATGTCATGGACAGACCAGAAAATAGGCTAGTGAACAGCAGAAAGCAGCATGGAGGCCATTTTTTAAAAATGTATCTCTTTTTCAAACTTGTGCAGGCTAACTTGGAACGATGTTTGAGTGCTGCTCAAAGTGCTGACAGACAGTATTTGTGGTACTGCGTCATTGCATCTCGCCAGTAAAGGGGCTAAAATGAGTGCATTCACCTGGGTATTGAACTTCCATCACTGCCAATGGGAGCCAGAGCCAATAAATACCTGTGACCACTAGGGCTGTCAATGAATATTCTAAATTCGAATTTAAATTCGAATTTGAAAAAAAAATGGACCTTCTAATGTGAAAATTGATATTCGATTGTGGAGAGAAAAAAAAAAACACCACCGCAGCTGACCTCTTTGTGAGTGGGCGTTGGCCTGGGCTGCTGCACTGAATGCACGCATTGACAGATTCGCTCGTGGCTCGCACAGAAAATAGACCAGACGCCGAAACTATCGCTGCAGGGCGCGAGCCGGCCACGGTGTGGATGACACAATCAGTTAACATGGGCGCCAAAAGGAAACTGGCTACGCTTCTCAGCGCTTCGAGGCTATTCGCAGCGCCTCTGCAGGCGGTGTGGCCTGACGGGTCAGAGAGGGGGGGCGAGCGAGAGGTCTGCGGCCGTTTAGAGATAATTGTTTTATGTGTTTGAATGTGTAGGTATGTAAATCTTTTCAAAGACGTTTATGTTGAAATAAAAATACTTACAAGTAGTTATGTTTCCTTGTATTAATACATATACAAGTATGTTTCCTTGTATTAGTTTGCCCTCTTGTGGACATATTGCGAAAAAAAAAATAAAATTTGAATGGTTCGAACCTGTGAGTTATTTTTAGAAGGAATATTCAAATGTCATTTTTGAGCAGTTTTGACAGCCCTAGTGACCACTGCGGAGTCATTTGACCTGGGTGTGAATGCCGATTGTTACTTTTCTCATTACATTTAAAAAGCTGCATGATGGAAGGTGTTAATGGTTTTTTGTGCAGTGGGAAAGGGGCGAAAGTAATTAGAGTTTGTTGGGGAAAAAAGTCACTGCAAACACTTAATCTGTATACTATAACCTTTTGGTCTATAAACTTTTACCTAATTCCCTTTTCCTAATAGCCACTACAGATCCATGTATTTATCTGCTGAGGCAGTTATTTCTTCAGGCATTAATGGATGTATTAAAAGGGGAAGCTTAAGGGCCCAGAGTTTTGGGTTACACCAATGAGAACCATCCATGGCTGTAATTTGGCTGTTTTCTTTAATCAACACATCACTTAAAGCTACTCTTACCTTTCTTGCATTTCACACAACACTTTGAACTTTGAGCAAAAATTTGAAGATCCACAACTCCCCCCTCCCTCCAAAGTCCCATCCCCCTCCTCCTGCAACTCCACCTCCCTCCAAAGGCCTATTTCCCCCCTCCTCCATTACATCCTCATTATGTCTATGATAAACGTAGGCATTGGCAAGTTAACGTTTGACACACGGAAGAGGAGAGTGAGTGTAATGTAACAACCAAGACAGTCAAACGCAACCCCAGAGTTTTAAAACTCAACTGGAGTCAGTGATGACTGATGAGTTTTAGAATAAGGTTACAGTGCTAATGTTAGATAGTAGTGTTAACGTTACGAGTAAGTGGAAACGCACAAGGAAGATAACGTCAATGTTTCAGAGGCTACGCTACAGTAGGCTAACGTTACCCATTAGCAACTGGATGCTGTGTTGTCATATATAACGTTATAGTTATATTAGAAGCAAACTAAACATAATGTCACCTGTCCTGCACAGTCAAACGCAACCCCAGAGTTTTGAAACTTATCCAGGGTCAGTGATGACTGATGAGTTTTATACTAAGGTAAGCGCTAACATTAGATAGTAGGGTGACAGCAAACAAGGTAGAGAGGCTCAGGCAACGTTAGGTTACAGTAGGCTAACCGTTAGCAACTGGATGCTGTGTTGTCATATATAACGTTATAGCCTATGTTACATTAGAGGCAAACTAAAAATACCTGTCCAGCAGAAACTCTGTGACCATCTCATCCTTTTTTAGCTAAGGATGAAGGTGCATCAGTCTTTGTCATCGCTCAAAAGCAGAGCAAATATTGACCCGAGTTTTGGCTCTTGCAGCATCGAGTTCTCTCTTAGTGTTAGCTTTTTCTGCTATATTCTTTCTTTAACCAAATGATTTCCCTGTTGGAGCGGCTGGAGGTGGAAGCGGTGGTCCGCATTTGATTGCCATTGTTACAGAGAAAAGTTTATATCTACAAGCATCCCTGTTTCTAGTTTATATCCACAAGCGTCCCTATTACTGTTAGCGGACCAGTCCGGGAGGCAGACACCGTCTCCACATTTAAGACTAGACTTAAGACTTTCGTTTTTGATAACTTATAGTTAGGGCTGGCTCAGGCTTGCCTTAGCCCCTAGTTAGGCTGACATAGGCCTATTTTGCAGAGAGAACCTATTAGCAGAGTTTTATTACATTTTCAAAATGTGGGTTCCATGCACTTCAAGTGCAGCTGTTATTCCGACTAGCTGTTATCCTCCGATACCCCGAATGTGTTTTGTGGATTAAAAAACTACACTGGACTTCTTGTCGGCATGTGGGTCAGTATGTGCTGTCTGTATTTTCATTCTAAAGTGGCCATTTCCTTTAATTATCTTTATGTTTAAGTCAATTTAATGTCAATGATGAGGTTTACCTGTATGACAGTAGTTAGGTTGGCTGGGGAGAAGGTGGGCGGGTTGTCATTGATGTCAGAGATGTCTATGTTGGCCATCACAGTGGAGGACATGGGTGGGATTCCACTATCCAGAGCTCTGATGATCAACGAGTAGCTAGGAACCTAGGGGGGCAGACACAATGGAAGATGTATATACCATGAAAGAACAAACCCAAGGATCATGGATGTAGCCTCTGTTATATCACCAACTGTTTTCTGAAGAAATGTCTGGCAGCTTGGATATCTGCTGTCATGGCAGTAACAGTGTGCAGCATTTTAGTGTACGTGTAGCCTCCATCCTCCAATTATCCCTGGTTAAAACTGTTAGCTCTGTTAGCACAGTCACCGTTGTTAAGCCTATTCATGGAGTTAACATTGTTTGCTGCTAGCTGCCAGCTTGGGGGTCTTCCAACAGAAAATTTTGAGCATTAAACACTTAATATTCTGCATTCTGGTTTTATGGACCACTTAGTGCCTTTTCTGCATCCGTATAAGGAGTAAATGTCTTTAATTCTTTCAAAAATAAAAGTCCTCTGCTACTTTCATGTTTTTATTAGAGGGGACAAATGCACATATTCTGAATATTGAAGAGGATGTGTCCCCTAGGTCCCCCCCTGAAATCTACATCTATGTTTCCACCATTTTTAATAAAAAGAAAACACACAATATTGACATCTCCAACTTAGATTGCTACCAAATTAATATGAATTGTTATTGGATCAAGCTAATCAAAAGTTATCAAATGCTTGTTGATATCGCATTGGATCTTGAACAAGGTTCTTCAAAAGGGGCTTAACTCTTGCAGGACCTCAAACCTGCACGCTACAAATACAAAACATGGCCATGTCATATCATAAATCAAAAACTGTTTGTCCAATCTTTATAAAACTTGCAGGATATATATTTAATAACAATGTTGAACCACACATGTAAAATTATTTTGAAATTGCCCAATAGGGGGTGCCACCAGTTCCAAACAAATGTCTTGGCCTGGTGCAAAATTTAGCCATAAATCAATGACAGTTTGTCCAAACATTACCAAATTTTGAATAAAGCTATTGAATAGTGTCCCCAAGATGTTTTTGCAATTGACCAACAGGGGACGACAACATTGCTGAAAAGAAGCATGGCCCTGCACAGATTTGGTTGTAACTGAACAAGCCTTAAACCTGTTAGTTTGGGGCGACCAGCAGCTCAGCTGGGAGAGCAGACATCCTATGCACTGAGGCTGTGTCCTTACTGCAGCAGCCCAGGTTCAATTCCAACCCTCCAATTTGCTGCATGTTAACCCTATGGATGTATTAAGAGACATGGATACAGCATTGGCACAGGAGCCCTGTTCATTCCTATGAATGTTGCTGAATGGCACATGAAGCCAAAAGGCTGTTTTTGTGGTAGGAAGTTACTCGGATGATTGGTGCTGCTTCCACATCATTGGGCCCATAGAGCATGTGCACTAAAGACTCATGGTCACCAAGCAAGGCAGAGTGCAGTCAAGTGTGGCTGAGCGACCAACTTCTACCCGCTGAGCGGCTAACTTTCAATTTAATACTTAGCAACTTGAATGAGGATAAAATAAATTAATGTTGCCGCTCTTTTAGACTTTCAGAATGTTATCGTAACCAAAGGATTCAATAGTGGAACGAGTCATTTTGTGGGGGTTGTGACACTCAAAAAAATGTATCCACAGATTTATAGACGTCTCTTTCCCAATCTGAGTCCATGGGGAAAAGTCTTTTCAAGGCACAGGGCATCACGTGACTGACCCTGAATATTGCAGTACCACTGTTTGGCCACTATGACAATTGGCTTCAAAGCCTGGTGCACTTCCTTGGAACCTGGCCATCTCCCCTCTCTCCCCCTTTCCTTAACCTGTCCTATCAAATAACTGCAAAATGCCAAATAAATAATCTTTGAAAAAAAAAAGAAAACAAACAAACAAACAAACAAACAAACAAAAAAAACTGTTACATTTAATGCATGTGTTGGAATGTGTCAAAGGTCTTGATCGTTTGCAGCTTTCAAATTCTAACAGTCCATGCTAGCTCAAACCCCAGAACAGCCACTTGCAGCTCTATGAAGGGTTGAATTTGCTATCATATTTTATTTGGCATAACAGGATACATAAATGCACACTGACTTGATCACATATCAAGCAATAGTAATAGATGCTAATCAAGTATGATTTTCCATTGCCTGTCTACAATCAGTCGGATAAGTGTCAAACAAAACAGCTCTGATTGGCAGATAAAAGGTGTCTTGATTGGTTTGGGGCCTTTGATCCCTACAAACTGTGCTGTGAGATGACAGACTCACTGGATCAAAGTTTTCATATTATAGAAAGAGTGCTTGTGTATGTGGTTGTCTGTGGAAGAGTTGAGAATGTTTAAGTTCTCACACACACACACACACACACACACACACACACACTAGTCTTGTTCCCCTGGCATGCCGCTCAGTCTTCTCTAAACCCGCAGAAGAATTTTTTTTCCATTTCTCCATATTACTTTATAATAAAGAACTAATGAAGCATACTGAGGAGGAATGCAAAAGCAGCAACAAAGCAATATTCTGCTGCCTGAGACATACAAAATATAACCCTCAGTAATAAAAAACTATGACCTGCTTAGCAGAGAGAGAGGGGGAGAAAAGAGAAGAACCAGTATGGAAATGAGATGAGAAAACGTATGTAAACACATGCACATATCGAAGTATTAATGCATAGACACATGGACGGATGCATCAGCACTGTACACACACGCACATGGATGCACACACACATACCTACACACACACGTATACACTGACACACAGAGAAAGCTGCTGCTCTCTGTGTGATAACCCCAAACACACTTTCATCAGCCAAAAGCTTTGATCCCCACACGCCCCTGCACTCTCTTTCTGAGCACAGCTCATCGACCGCACTCTTGAATACTTTATGATAGGAATATGAACATTTCTGAAGTTTTCAAGCACTGCAGAGGAGAGGGAGATGAGGAAGAAGCAGAGGATGAGGAAGAAAGAGGCAGGGTGTGAAAAAAGCTCAGAGGAGGGGGGGTGGAAGGCAGGCAGGGGGTGTTCATGCCTTCTATCTTTTTTCCTGCTGCAAATTAAAGAGCTCATACTCAGAGCTGCTTTGTGCACGTGCTTCCTGTTCAAGTGTGATTAGCTGCCATCTGGTCAGGGATCCATCTCACAGAAAACCATCTCCCAGTGAGCTCATCAGCTGCCAACACACTACTTCCTTACATCTAAGATAGGCAACCAGAAGAGCTCACATTCTGCAGGTATTCACTCAGAGCACACACCACAGCAGCTCATTTCACACACTGCCTGTTCATGCTGGCACAGAGACAGTCAACTGATACAGCCGCATATCATAAGGACTGTACCAATAGATTGCATTGTAAATATAAGGCATGATGTAATAATCTGTTGAATAAAACAATGTAAGAAGCTAGCTATTTTTTGCTTGCTGCAAAATAAAATTCTGCAAAAATGAATCATTACATTAATCATAGACTTCTATTTTGATATAACAGTTATTTTGATATAATTAATTCTGATCCAGGTTCATAAAATAGACATATTTTAAAATAGACATATTTTATTATGTACATTCATTTTACAATGAATGTACATCAACATTCATGCCAATAAAGATAATATGATACCACAATCAAAAGTATTTTGGGGGTTTAGTTACTCTTTCAACAACAGAGCAATGAGTCCTCATTACTTCAACCATCAGCTGATTGCATCATGTCAGTTTCAGGAGTCTGAATCCCCCAGGTAAACTTTCATATCATAAACATAATTAAACAGTCCCTTCAGGATGTTCACAACAATTGCAACAATTAATGCAAATTCAGCCACTTCCCATGAATTCTGTATGCATGGGTGTGAAAACCTGGAATAAAAAGTTTGGTTTTGTACCTCTATGCCTCTACCACTGAATATGCTCAGTACCAACCCTGTAGTCAGTCATTCACTTAGAATTTATTCACAATTCAGGAAACATTTTAACCTACTAGATATGTGTTTTTCTAGCCCTTTAGCATCCAATCACCTCTTCCCACCCTCAATACAGGACGCATCCTTCAATATGTGGCACGGGAGGGGCCTAAATGTTTCAACGACCTTTTCATAGAAAACAAATTTGCCTCTTTCGAACAGCTGTCAAAGAAATTTAATATACCCAATTCCCACTTTTTTTTTTAGATATCTACAAATTCGACATTATGTTATGAGTGCTATCCCACAATTTCCTAAAAAACCCTCCAACAAATTCACTGATGACATGTCTTTTAACCCAACAGACAAGGGTGCAATTTCATCAATACTCAGCTTAATTTCTAAATTAGAGTCTTCGCTGGTTAGAATTAGAACAGCATGGGAACAGGGCCTTCAAATAACAATTAATGAGGAAACGTGGGCTAGGATATTGGAAAGAGTTCACTCCTCTCCTATGTGTGCTAGGTATGCTCTCATTAAATTTAAAGTTGTTCATCGGGTGCATCTTTCTAAGTCTAAACTGGCCAAGATATATCCACAAGTCGACCCTACATGTGACAGGTGTAAGACTTCAGATGCAACGCTGATAAACACATTCTGGCTTTGTCCTAAGTTAGAGGGGTACTGGAAGGCTATTTTTCAGGCTCTGTCTACTGTCTTAAAAGTACAAATTTATTCATTCAAATTCATACGACGGTTCGGCCTAGATCAGAATTAGCTCTCTAGCGCCCCCATTTTGTTTGATGGGGTCAATAATGGAGGGGTCCCCTCAGATTATGTGTGGTCATATGCCTACAAAGTTGCGTGGTGATCGGTGAAACCCTTGAGATGTTATACACCTTTATGTGATGAGCCACGCCCTCCGCAATATTCATTGCCTTATAGAAGCTTAGTTTTAGTAAGTTTTCCAACTTTTGCCAAGAGGGAACTTTAGATATTGGTCCCTAGATTATGTTCACCGAGTTTCATGCAGATCGGTCAAACTTCCTAGGAAGAGATCGATTTTAAGTGTTTTGGAAAAAATTCAAAATAGCAGAAAATCTATAAACCAGAAGTTATGGGTTCTTGAGGCAAATTTGTTCTTCATGAGGAGAGGCATCTCTGTGCAAAGTTTCATGTCTCTACGACATACGGGGCATGAGATATGCCCATTCAAAGTTTGCCATTTCAATCGGTTGTTATAGCTCCCCCCTTTGACCAAGTCAGTGAGGAGAAAAACGTGGAACAGACACACAGACAGACACACCCACACACCCACAGGCGAGTTTTTGTCATTATATACTAAGATTTTGGGGCGAGCTTTTGGCCTTTAATGACAGGACAGTTAGGGAGGAGAGGTGACAAGGTGCAGCAAGGGGCCATGGGCCAGAACCGAACCTGTGGCGGCTGTGACAAGGACATAGCCTTTGTACATGGGGTGCCCGCTCTACCCACTGAGCCACTGGGCTCAAATCTAGGTTTTATCTCTTAATGCAGCTAGAGTCAAGTGACTGCTCATGCTGGAGCACTAATCAACACTGTCATGTCTTTCCCCAAGCACGGAAAAGCTGAGTAAAAAAAAAAAAAAAAAAAAGACAGAAAGACAAAAAAGTTGTGCAAGAGAGACATGGATCAAGAGCGGGCAGGGGGCCCATAGATGCTGCTTATGCATAGGGCCCAGAATTTGGTGCTATGCCCCTGTCTGTGCAACCTTGCAATTTTGTCCAATCACTGCAACTTTACTGCAAGTCTGACAATTTAAACCGCATAAAATCTCATTTCATTGTAGAGCTGATGTATCATGAGACTGCTGCTGCAGGACTGGAGCTCTGTGCCTGGGATAGTCACACACAAACAGACATAGGCATAACTGTTAGAATCACGCTAACATTACCTAATAGTGAGTAATAGGTTAATAGACAGAGCTGAGCCATTTTTGTGTGGATGGGAGATTAAAGACTCGATTGCGGTTGTTAACCACTGTGGTGGGGCCCCTGCACAAGCTGCAAAATATGACCAATAGTGATGAAATCATGTTGTTTTGTGTTAGCTTGTGCTAACCAGGCAGAAAGATTAGGAGGAGAGCGCTGTGTTGAATAGCAGCCATAGATGATCGTCGGCAATTAGCTGTTGCTGCCCGCACCCCCACCATCACAAATAGATTCTAGTTCTGTGCAAAAGACTGAAAGCAAAGAATATTAGGCTCCTAATCAGTGACAACATCACAACTATTTTTGCAATTTTTACTTGCCCCCACAATTTAATTGAAGAAAAAAAAACACCTACAAACATTGCAACATGCATCACAAGTTTTTTTTTGTTTTTTTTTTCAGAAAAGCTGCCATGAAATCAGGCATTTTAGGTCACAATAAAATCCTGGAGGGATTGATTAAAGCTCATCAATTTAAATGCCCTGAGCCAGAATCTCCTGTATGCGGAGCAAGCTATAGGTTAATAAAGTGTTGCACATAAAGTCTTTCATCTTCTCTCTTTCTTCATTCTTTCATACAGAGTTGCACTGCACTGCTATAAGTGTTTAAGTAGTGTAAAGAAGTGCTGCTGTGTAAAGCTTCTTTACAGTTGTTTCGAGACCAAACTGTGGTGTGTGTGGTGTGTGTGTGTGTGTGTGTGTGTGTGTGTGTGTGTGTGTACATGTCCTCACTGTCTCACGGTCCAGTGGCTTGTTGACCTTGATGACCCCACGGAGTGGGTCAATGAAGAACTGGTTGTCTCGGTCTCCAGTGATAATGGAATAGAGAATGGCTCCATTCAGCTGACTGTCAATGTCCTCTGCAACCAGCTGAAAACACACACACACACACACACACACACACACACACAGGAAGTGTGATTTGCAAGGAAATTCTTTTTACAGTCAGTGCAAAACATTTAACAGACAAACGGGGGTTACATGGCGTTAACAATTACATAGACATACAAACACACCACAGGCTGGAACATTGTCAGACAGATGTTATTCATACATTTAGGGCACGTATAGCTGCAGGAATGAAAATCTTATTGAACTTGGCTTTTTTGCACAGAGTTAGCCTGTACCTACGGCCGGAGGGGAGGGGAATGAAGTATTGGTGGAGTGGATGGTCAGGGTCCTGTGTGTTTCTAAGGGCTTTACGGGTCAGAGATGAGGTGACACTGTCAGATGATTTTGCTTACCAGATGGGTTACTTTCAAGAGTTTGTTTCTATTAACAACTGTGAGCATGGGGAAGAAGCAGATGGCACCATACAACAGAACCGGCTCAACAATGCTGCGGTACAGAAGGAGGAGGAGTTGGGGATGAACAGACGGGTGTCTGAGTTTGCATATAGCCGTGAGTTTCTGTTGGCAGCGTTTGTAAATGTCTGTGGTGTGCTGATTGAAGCTGAGGTTATTGTCCAGTGTGATGCCGAGATATTTGGAAGACTCCACCTCCTCCACCTTCTCAACTATTGATGAAGAGACTGGGGTGGGGGGTCAGGGTTTTGGGAGGGCTGATAATCAGTTCTTTGGTTTTGGAGATGTTGAGGTGGAGATAGTTATTGTCGCACCATGTGCTGAAATGGGAGATGGCATGTCTGTAGGCAGCGAAGGAGTCGTTATTGTTCAGCAATGCAGTTTGTGAGGGACAATCACACATTTTGCCCCTTTGTCCCTGTCCTATACTTTAAGTAAACACATGCTTTATAAATGCAAACTAGATGAAATATTTTTTCAAATACATATCAGTAATTCCTAATAACCTGTACAAATATGAACCCTCTCTGTTCCAAATATTCTATTACAATTCCTGACTAAATACATTTCACAGATATTACAGTATATTTCAGTGCCTATTTATGCTGCTTTGTAGCATTAATTATGTATGTTTTAACCCATTTTCTGAAAATACTGTTTTCTTTCCATCACTGCTGGCCATTTTCCAAAGCATGCTGTACTGCTGACTTCTCAAAGTGATTTACCTTCAGTACCTGCCAAGCAGCCATGGGATTCAGTGAATCTGAGAACATTATGAAAACCATCTTACAGGCTGCTGAAAGATGTTTAAGATAAGTGATCCATCACTGTGAACATTGTGAACATTATATGTTTGACATGTTATATTATCACTGTGTAGTAAAAATCAATTTATTTCTAAAGTGTACATTAGCACATAAGGATATAAGGTGTGACACAAATGGAAGCAGATATGTCTACAGGCTGTCAGGAATGTTGGGAAAATACACAAAAAATGTAAAACACTGTGCTACGCTTTGGAAAATGGTGAGCAGTGATGTCCTGAAGTCATTAATGGGTAACAGCATGTTTAAACTAACACATTCCCACTCCGACCTTGTCACATATCAACGTTTGGCTGTGGACTTTCCACGTCAACATATGACGTGCAAGGTACCCTGGGTGCGTTGGTCGTTGACATTCTGGGACATCGTGTCAACTTCAGCCTGTTACATGCAATGTATGTTTTCAATATACACTTCCGTTTTCACAGAAAATGTACAGTTTGCATACATTCTCTTTCAAAATAAATGCACTATGTCAGTACAACACCCCAAATTGACGTTTGTTTCCTTCAACAACAAATGCACGTGGTTATATTTTGCCAACAAACGCATGTGGTTGGGTTTATGCTACAAAAGCATGTGGTTGGGTGTAGAAAAAAGAACAGGGTTTGGCTTTACAATCATTGGTGAAGTGAACATCAGCTAACTGGGTGAAAGTGGGTGGTTGTTGGACCCATCCACCACCCTGCACCCCTGCCCAACTCGGACTTCAGCCACCTTAACTTTTGATGTTGTTCCACTGCCTTTACCCTTGATGCTGCCGGGTGCCGTAACAATAACCGCAACCAGCCAGTATGAAAGGACTTTTTGTTTTCATCTAAGTTTAATGCTGGAAGTCTGCGGAGACTTTGGAGTGAGACCGAGTTGTATAAACACAGGAATGGTCCTTTTAATTTAGGCCTACTATAACTGAAAATGAAACAGAGCATGAAACTTGCATTTCTGTCAACATATATTTTGAATTCTAATAATTTGCATCTGCTTTGATACAGTCGTGGTTTGGGTGTCATGGCGACATTTCTTACCACCTGGCACCACCTGGCACCATAGGAAAAGTTTTTGATACATTTGACTGTATTAGTTATACACAAAAACAATCAAACTCTAGACATAATGTAAATAACAAAGACATAAATAACTTCTCGTGTCATCAAGTAGTACCTGCTTTGAAATGAAAAAATTAACACATTTGTTATATTCTGAGCTCATCCAAAAGCTGTTTTTAAAGGTCCCATTTTATGCTCATTTTCAGGTTCATACACTGGGGTTTCTACTAGAACATGTTTACTGTTAAAAAACACAGTATTTTTCTCATACTTTCTGCCTTAATACACCTGTATTCCCTCTCTGTCTGAAACGCTCCGTTTTAGCACCTGCCTTTTTAAGCCCCCCTCCCAGAAACCCAGTCTGCTCTGATTGGGCAGTTCTTCTGGGTCCTCCACATCTGTGCTCTCGGCGTCTCTGTACCGTCATTGCAGCCAGGGAATGGCTGTCATGGCAGAAGCGGCAACTTCTACCGAATGTTGTGACATCACAACTTCACTGAATTCCTGATGGCTCATTTTAAAGGCACAGTTGTTGTATATGGACTGTATGCTTTTTTCTTTGGGACTTAGCGTTCAGAAAATGTCACAGTATTTATAGAGCACCTGTGCCTGCTTTATAACAAAATAGCCATGGAAATCTGACTTTTCCGATACGGGACTTTTAAATTATTTTCTAATATGTTGTTAGTAGTTAACAGCAAATCCGATGATATACAACTTGCTTTTCATATAATACATTTTGTTAGGTAATGATAGTAGCACTGTATGAATCCTAATTTAGCTATTTAAGGCTATTTCAGACCTGTTTTTCTCCATCCCTTTATTTAAAAGAAAAGACAAGTCTGCCAGTGTTTCCTTACTCAGACCGATAGCTTTACTATGTAAGTCTCTTTAGCTGTGTTGCTGTGTTTCAGTGGATCTGAATGCTGTAAAGGACAGAAGTAGAAGTGGAAATGGAGAAGAACAGCATATGATTGCATTTTTACAGATAGGAAGCAAATACAAAACCCCACAATGTCTGTAAAAATGTGATTCTGTTAACAATTTAACGGATGAAAACTGGCTCAGGGCTGCCTGCACGTTCACCACCTGTTCTGTCTGTGAAGCTCACCAAATAAAAGCTTAAACCACTAAATCCCATCAAACCCTGGGAGACTACTTAACATTACAAACTCAATAATTGCCAACATCTAGGTTAAGCTGATGATAGCATTACTCTTAGCCATTATTTTTTTTGACTTTCAGAGGGGGCCCATCTTAAAAGGCATGACATCGACCTCAATACACTGTATACCACTACCTACTAAAAAAGCATCAGTATATATGGGCTCTCTCACACACAAACACATTCCCTTTAAAGTCTTGCCACATATTTCAAGGCTACTACTGAACAGAATCATTTTACTGAAGACAAGCCACTAGTATCACTACCATACCTCTTCACAAACAAAAACACAGAGTAACATATAAATAGAGAATATGCTGTCTAACAAAAAAATAAAGGTCTAAAGCTTTACGCATAGAACAAACAACATAACCATGACTTTGCAAGAGCTCTCTTGAGGCCCCAATTATTGTAATAATAATGCATTTTATTTGTAGGCCCTTTTCAAGGCACTGAAGGACACCTTAGAGGACACAGTTAAAAAACAAAACAAAAACACAAGCAGCGATGTATCCACAGATCATAAAGTCAAACAATTCAGTAATATACAATAATAACTTAATAACTACATAAAAATCTTATTTATAAAAATTAGGTATAAAATCATCATTGTATAGTCGTCATCAGTGTAAGTCTTGATATATGTATCACCATTAAATCAGACTGAATATGCGAGCTTGTTTTGTGAGGTTTGTTTTCAGATGGGGTTTGAATGTGAATAGTGTGGTGTTATGTAAAACTGTGTCACTGTCAGAGTGACATCACATGGACAAGGGTTCATAGGTGATCAGCTGGTGGGTGTGTCTTTCATGTGTGTACCTGTGGCGGAAATAAACCGGAGTTAAAAGACCAGTCACAGTAAAAAGAACCTAATCAACATGACATGGTGTCAGAAGTTCGGCTGCAGTGAGGGGAAGGAGGAAAAGAGAAAGTACTTTTGTGAACCAAGCATGGGATGAGAGACGACGGAGAAAGCATGGATGGCGAACAGTAGCCTCCAGCAGCAGCGGCAGCAGCACCTCCGCCAACCGCAACGTTCACAATAAATCCTCCCGATCCTTTTGACTTTTCATCTGTGTGGACTTGACCCCTCTTAATGATGCTGTGTGCAGGGAAAAGTACATTCTTCCCTCTTTGGACCAAACCCTTGGTATGCTGTCAGGGGCACAGATCTTCACCAAGATGGATGGTAATATGGGGTTTTGGCAGATTCCACTGGCTAGTGAGTCTGCAGTCCTCATGACATTCATCACCCCATTTGGCCGTTATTATTTTAACTGCCTGCCATTCAGCATTGCTTCTGCCCCAGAACATTTCCAAAACCGGATGGTGACAGAAGTCACACAGGGGCTGGAAGGTGTCGTTTGTCACATGAACGATGTCCTCATATCACTTGGTAAAAAGAACCTAATCAGCACGACAAACAGGGAGTCAATATTGCAAATGTCATGGGGGAGAGAGTTCCAAAGATGGGGGAGAGAACAGCTGAAGGCTCCAGAGCCCGTGGTAGTCAAGTGGGCAGATGGTGATGGGAGTTGGATTGCAGAAGAGGATCTAGTATAGGAGGGTGTGTAGATATGAAAGAGTTCAGACAGGTATGAAAAGGCTTGATTATGAAGGGCCTTAAAGGTGAAAAGCAGAATCTTAGTTTATGAAGACTTTTGAGAGGGAGACCAAAGAGGACAGAATTTCAATAATTAATATGAGATGTAACCAAAGAGTGAATGAGGACAGTGGTGCTGAGAGGAGTAAGTGACGGGTGAAGGCAATTAATATAACGTAGATGTAGACCAAGAAATGCGTCACCTGCAAAACCATTGTCTTCCCAGTGGTACAGCCACAAAAATAATGGACATAGCAACCGTGACATCACACGTTGGTTTGTGGACTCCCATTCTGAAATCATGAGTTCAGCATTTCAGCTGTCACCATCTTGGCTTCTCGGAGCCAGAAGTGACCATATTAGGGCAAGAGGAACGAAGGGTGGATCTGACTGAGAATGTGACACTCTCAGCAGAGAGCCTGTCACTCAGAGCTTCTCACCCTCAATCAACTTTAAGCCTTAAAAAAATGTAAACAGGTGAGTTATATAAAAAATCCTCTCCCCTATAGCTGTTATGAAGGGAAAAATTAGCTATAGAGACCAAAATCGTTTTTGGTACCAGGCTGTAAACATGTCTGTTTCTGCTATAAGGTTGGGCATTTTAACATGGAGGTCTATAGGGATTGACTGCCTTCTGGAGCCATCCTCAAGTGGCTAGTTTTAGGCACTTCTATGTTAGCTTCATTCTTCAGCCCCAGACGTTAATGCTTGGTGGGCCTGGCATGCAGTTTTCCCTTGCACCGCACACACAATATACTAGTTTTTCAGTTCTTGGACATGCAAAGAAGTTTAAACATTCTCAGCTTTTCAGTGCAAGCTGCACTGCTTGTCAGTATCACACTTGGTCCAGGGAGCCAAAGAAAATAAAGCAAGAGGTGGGAGCAGGTACTGTTTTGATGCTGGTAGATGTGGTAGGAACAGTGGAACAACAACAAATGATAAAGGTTGTCCCATCATTCAAATACTGTACTAATCAACAAACACATGCATGGAACTGGTGAGCAGCCAGGTGAATCTCTCATGCTGTTTCCTATGCCAATAAATAGGATGGATAGCTAGTGAGCTGTTGGACTTTGAGAGAGCCACATATGTGAGGGAGAAGGGAGAATTAAAAAATCATGATAGTTTTATGTAGGCCACTGCCTTTGAGAGACAGAGAGAGAGAGAGCACATGTAAGGGGGCATGTTATGTTCTTTTTTCCGACGCACTTTGGCTAGGCATTTTTAAAGTGGCCATGCCTGTAGTGATGCGTCTCAGTAGAATTGTAGCTAAGGTTATCTTGTGTGTAAAGTGTGCCTGAGGTACTACTGGAAAGCTCAGGTCTGTTGAAGAATGTAAATATTCATCCTCTGGGGATCGCAGATTTTCTAAGTAGATATCATGGCAAACTGCACATTCGGATTTTAATATTTTTTTGTACAAAGGAAGAAATTGTGGTGGTGGTGGTAAAGAAAAGGTCAAGGGGTCCCCAAAAACATTACAATCTATCCTCTGGGGGTCATGGATATTTAGAGCAAATTTAACAGATATATCTTGCTCAGATGAAAAGCTACTTCCATCATCAGGCCTCACATACATGCAGGAAAAAGCTAACATTGACTGGAACCTACCTGGACTACAGATTCTCCAGTGGTGGCATCCTCTGACACCACCGCAGTGTAGAGGTCACGGCTAAACATGGGTGCGTTGTCATTGACATCTGTCAGGTTTATGTTTACTGTTGTAATGGCACTCAGTGGTGGTGTGCCTCCATCACGAGCCTCCACTGTCAGGAAGTAGTCCCTGCAGGTCTCATAGTCCAGAGGCTGGGCAACTAAAATTGCACCTGAGCAAGGTGAGGAGAGAGAGTGTACAGAAGTATATGTTTGAATAAATGTTAAGAGTAGAATTTAAATCCAAACAGCATGTGGGGTGGGGGGGTGGGGGGGTTTATACTGTCGAATGAAAAACACATCATATATAATTTGATAACAAATCAAAAATTTTGCTCAGGTTCGGCCCACTTGCCATGCTGCTGTGTTGTGCTATGGCCTATTCAGGTGCTGGAATTCATTATTTGTGACAAGCCTGAACGCAAAACTCCATTGAGTACAGTGCCATGCTGCGGGTTTGGGCCGGGCTCAGTTATAATTGTCTCGGACTCGGGTCGGGGTTTGGTCGGGAAAATGCGGCCCGAGCCCCACTCTAGTTTGCTCACATGTGTGTGCGCACGTGTCTGAGTGTGTGTGTGTGTGTGTGTGTGTGTGTGTGTGTGTGTGTGTGTGTGTGTGCGCATCGGGCCAGGCGCGCTGCCAGACACTTTTCACCGGGCCACGTGCCTCAGTAAAGATGCGCTGTGCTCCTGTAAAAATTCCCAATCACATTTCATAAATAACCCTATTTTTTTTTTTTCATTACTGAATATCCGTATTCATTCCTGAATATCCGTAGGGCTACGCTATGACTGATGTGTCAAGGAAGAATAGCATGGGCACAATTTCTTTCTACTTGAACCACGTAGTAGGGCCGGTGCCGCATATCAAACAGTGGAGAGGTTGCACTTGCAGGCGTTGGGTGCGTCTGTGCATATTCAGTGAATGGAACTCGCATGAAGCCTAGCGCGCGTCCGCACAAAATTGGAGTTGGAAGGCAAGCTGCTGCGGCCCCCGGTGCAAATTTATCAGCAGACCCACACATGTTGTCAAGTAAAGCCGAAGCGTAGTATATAATACCACTACACAGTGATGGATTACTGTCATCATGGACATAAGGAAATTCTTTTTGCAGAACAGAGGAGGCAGGGACAGGGAAGCAGCAAGGTGAGATGAGAATGAGGTGGAGGGAGGTAAGATCATCTGGTTTAAAGTCTAGTGGTTCAAACTTTTTGTCTGTTGTGTCGACGCTAAAAACATGAGTCTTGCAAATCGCGACCCCAAATTAAACTATGGCTAGTTTAGGTTCACTATAAGTCATTGACCGTTTTGCTGAGATGAAAAGCAGGCGGTACAGTTTGATGCTTAAAAATTAAACTTCTATAAATTGGACTAGGTGTGGGCTATGGGTGGGCTAGTTTAAAAAGCTACCCAATCAGGGGAATATCCTTTCAGACCATATCAGGTACTCTTAATTTTAGATTTTGACTTTCTTTGGTAATATTCCCTCTTGTCAAAGGATTTATTGATTGCATTTATTGTGCTATTGTGCTGTTTTGATTTGTAAGATTGTAAGACTGTGTAAATCACTTTTTTTGGTAATATTCCCTTTTGTGGAAGGCTTACTTGATTTTGTTTGGTGTGCTACAGAAGGAGGAATTGAAAGGTTCAGTGGCTGGCTGTTTTTATTTGCTTACAGATATAGCTCTGTTAAACCTGTTGATATGTATGTACATATATATATATATATATATATAGTGTGTATATGTAGTGTGACAAACTCATATTTGCTTTGNTATGTTCATGTTCCTTCACTACCATGAACACACTGTAAAATATTTGACTAAATCCCACATACACCATCCTTATGCAACAAATTCTGACTAAACTACCAAATCTGGATTAATAAACCACTGAAGATAGTCCCCATCTCCCTATTTCATTGTTGAGGCCAAAAGGACATTTGTGCCAAATCTGAAGAAATTCCCTCAAGGTGTTCTCATGTGTGTCATTATGAGAGTGATGCAGGGGGTGGTGGACAGGAACATCTTATAATGTATATTAAGTGTCAATGAACTTAGGGATCACAAGTAGATGTAGTTACTCACCAGTCAGTGGGTGGATATGGAACTTCCCATGCTCGTTGCCTGATCGGATGCTGTAAGTAATCTCAGCATTGGTCCCGATGTCCTTGCTGGCTGCATAAACTCTCAGAACCTCGGTGCCCACTCCCACATCCTCCGGCACTGTCGCTAGCTGGTCACGGCGCTCAAACACAGGCGGGTTATCATTGATGTCCAGCACAGTGATAGTGACGTTGACCAATGAGGAGAGGGGAACTGGTGAACCCTGGTCAGATGCATGGACTGTTATCTGATAAGCAGGCTGGACCTCACGGTCGAGAACGCGTTCCAGGACCACAATGCCTGAGGACTTATCGATAGAGAATGAACCTCCTGCAGAGTCAGCCAGGGAGTAGACTACCATACGGCCCAGACCTGCTGCAAAGCCACAAGAGGAGTGTCAGATCAAGGTATCCTTATACAATGGTTCATATGATGCCACTGGTTCATATGATGCCAAATGATCTAATGGTGTTGTCCACTGTTTGCTCCTTCCAACTCCATGTAAGTTTTTGAAAAATAAATAATCTGACAGTAAGTCCAATAATTTTGTGATTGGCCAGCAGGTGTGTGGAGCTATGAAAGTAGTTCTTCACACAAATGTTTCTGTCACTTTTCAAGTGAAAAACCAAGTGTAACACCATGAATGTTTTTGAGGAACATATGTGTGCTCCATTGTCCCCATTTGTATACTTTAATTGAGTCAAGACTACAAAGACACATAGTTGTGATTTATTAAAGTTTCAATTAGCGCCATGTTTTTCTGTATTTTAGATATATATTTTCATTTATTTCCCCCTGTATTTTTTATCTCTTTGCTCATCTGATCTTTGTTTCCATTTTATACTACTTTTGAATTGTATTATCTTCATTTGTCTGTTGTTATTCTAAATGAATGCACCTTGGATTTTATGCATGAAGGATGAAGGATTTTTTTTTAAATAAAAGATAGTATAGTAGCATGTTAAGCATTACTTAAAGCAGTGGTAGCACAAGTAGTAGTAGCAGCAATACTAGTAGTAGTACTATCACCTTCATCAGGGTCTATGGCCTGGATGCGGGTGAGCAGGGCTTTGGTGGCGGTGTCTTCATAGACGCTGGCAGTGTACTGTGACAGGGTGAAGATGGGTGGGTTGTCATTCACATCAGTAACTGCCAGATGCACCTCAGCACGGCACCATCGCCCACCACCATCAGTTGCCTGAGCCACAAGCCAGTAGTAGGGTGTTGTCTCATGGTCAAGAATCACAGATGACTTGACCTCACCTGGAAAGTTTAGAGACAACTTCTGAAACATTGTGAGATGGAGCCATGCAAGGGCCATTAGAGTATGTCACTGAAATATCCACAGGAATGAATGCATGTCCAATATGATAAGCTGATGACCTGGCCCCATTTCACTGCTGCATTTCCCTCCATATTAGATTGATTTGTGTTGCAATTTATACAAGTTCAGTGAAAAAGGTGATGTATTAAGTGTTTTTTCAAGAGAAATGTATGTATGTTTTCAAAGCCATGCTGCTTCCATACCGGTGTCCGAGTCCATGCTGAAGTCCTGGGATCCAGGACCATGTAAGGAGTACTGGATCCAGGCACTGATGCCCACATCTGCATCCGTAGCTCCAACCCTCAGCAGCACACTGTTGACTGGGAGGTCCTCTGGAATAGAGGCAGTGTACACAGCCTGCAGACACACGTGTGCACACATACACAGCAAAGAAAAAAAGAATGAAATAACACCATGAAAAGACGGTGAAGCTTTGACAGTGTCATTATTTACCTTTAGCTGAGTCAAATGAGTCATATCTAAAACTACTTGCCATTTGCCACTGTCCTGAGCTCTTACTGTGGTTGCATCTGTCCTTTCAAAAGAGCAACACGCAGTTTTATTCCTCACCTGGTCACAGATAGGGCTGTTGTCATTGGTGTCTATCACTGTCACCTCCACCGTTGCCTGTGAAACAAAGAGTCCATCGCTAGCAGTGACATTGATGATGTAGAGATTGCGCTCCTCCCTGTCCAGTGGCCACTTCACATACATCTTCCATTCACCCTGAACCAGACCCAGAGCAAACACACCACGATAGTTCCCACCTGGACAACACACAAGCACACAGAGAGACAGGATCAGTAAAAAAAAACAAACATTTTAAACATGGCCTACATGGAGTTTGTGAATGTGAATTTTCACAGAGGTTGCATTTAGTCATAAGGTATAGGAAAAACAAAACCAAACGTCTGCAAAACATTACAATGTTAATGTCCACACACCATGAAATTCATTAGTCATTAGACATTTCAAATATCAACCTGATTTTCACTCTAACCAAAATTCAACATATGTCCAACAAGTCTAACATCTTTCTGACATCATATTGACATGCGGTGCCAGCTGGGGAGCGCTCCATTAAGAAGTGCTTCATTTGAGTGTAGAGGCGGGAAAATCACTTCGTCTTAAGTCTTGGCTATTAAGTGCTGAGTCCCAGGTGAAGACCGACAACACCCAAGTCAGGTCCAGGTCCTAAACTTTGTGTCTTCAGTCTTAAAGAAGTATTTTGTTGTGGGAGAGATGGTCTTTTCATTAAACATGACCATCTATGCAGTAGACAGATGCAAATGCTGTTAAATTGGTACTACCTGACCAGAGATAACAAAGAAAAACTGCTGTGGCATTCACTTTTGCTCAAGAGGTAGAAAACCAACATCTACCAGAGTGCACTGGACCGCACTGGACCGCACTCATCCAAATACAATATGGCTGTTACCAAACAGTCTTGTGTTACAGTTAAACAGTCAGCGTAAATATGTTTCTGAACACATTTGAGTGAGAAGGGTTTTACCATTAGATCTGAGTTTGGTCTGAGTATTGGTGGGGGGTGGCTCTCTCTCTTAATCTGCTTTTATACTCTTTGTGTATGTGGTGGTGGCAAGTATACAAAAATTAGGAAGTAGAATCTGTAGCTTGAACAACAGCCCCAGAGCCAGTGAAAATCTGTGGAATGACACAAAACGGGCAGGGGGATCTGGGTGCTGGCAGGATGGAAGGAAGTTTAACACCGTTCATTCACACCAATACACACATTGTTATGGTACAAAACTTGTTAAAAAAATTGTGAAGTATCCCTTTTAACAAATCTTTATAGGTCTCCCCACATTTACTGGCATTTTAAATGTTTAAAATAAGAGTAACAGTATAGTAAATTAAAAGTGGGTATTTATTACTTTTACATAAACCTGAAAACCTTAAAAATCAATCTTATCTGGTGTGTCTTGGTGTGCTATTTCTGTAACAGCTATTATTCAGCTCTGTAAGAGCTGAATGATTTGCATGTTTCCATCTGTTTTGCTAACTACAGAAAATTCTTTATAACTGAATGTGATAATCTGAAGTTCATTTGTAGTCTTTCTGATGATTTGAACTAACACACCTTCACCTCCTTCTTTGCCCTAAGTGATGGGCTGTGGTCAGAACGATGTTGAAAGTTGATTTGCTGCGCACTTATTAATTTTTAATCTACGGAGTGGGGGAGGATATCACGTTATTCCATGTAAAATGGTTGTGATTAAAGTGAAACTGGAGTCATTGGTGTTCGGTGAAAGTCAACATAGATTTTTAAAAAAAATTTTTGTCATGTAATCACATTCATTTTAGTCTGACTCAGTTCATCCTTGAGTCCAAGCGGACATTTGGGCCAAATTTGAAGAAATTCCCTTAAGGTGTTCTTGAGATAATGCCTTAATGAAAATGAGACTGACCAGGTCACAGTAACCTTGACGTTTGACCACCAAAATCAGGATCAGTTTATCCTTGAGTCCAGGTGGACATTTGTGCAAAATGTGTAGAAATTTCCTCAAGGTATTTTTGAGATATCGGATTCACAAGAATGAAACAGACATAGGCCCATATGTATGGACAACTCAACAATATAATGCCAAGTGCGGAGGCATGAAAAGATACCTCCACATAACAGAGTTGAGCTACTGCATTCTTTTTAATCAATAATCTCAGGGATTGGAAAGGATATCAGGTCATTCCACGTCAACAAACTATAATCCACGTAAAATTACGAGTCATTGGTGTTAAGTCAAAGTCAAGCTAGATTTTTTTAAATCTAATTTTTGTCACATTTGTTCTTAAGTAATGACATTCATTTTAGACTATTAATCATAAGCCTGCAGCCCACACCTCTGTTCTGTTATCCTATCCACAGTTACAGGTGAATTGGGGCAATTATAGCTTCACACAAAATATATATCAAGGTGCATAAATTTAGCATCAAGACAATTTCTTGACCCACTGCACACATGGAAATAACTGTTATGCAATTACCATAAGTGGCTCCTTTATGTGGGTAGTACAGGGAAATTAATGTTGCAGCGGTGGATAAAGGTTGGACCATAATACTGAGGATTTATGAGAGCACTGGGTGGCTGCTGACCCATTTAACTGGACTGTCATGTGGAGGAAGCACAATCCTCCACTTACAGATCTTCAGGCAGTTCTTTTCTCTCTCACAAACTGATGGGTGGAAGAAAGCCTTGCCTACAGTGTATACAGGGTGACAACAAATCACTGAAATGTGAATAAAATTACATTCCAGTATGTACATATATCCACCCACCCACCAACCCACCCACAACCACACACACACACACACACACACACACACACACACACACACACACACACACACACTCAGTTATTTAAGGTTAAGGTAATGGAAAAACATGTTTATACATGTTAATACAGGCAGATCAGACTGGGATCTGTCCAAATAACTCTGGAGGTGATTTGGCCAGCACAATAATCAGATTTTAGCCAGGTGTACAGGCCCTGACACACCAAGCCAACGGTTGGCAGTCGGTCAGTGTTGGGCCATCAATGAATGTCTGTCGCCCTAGCTGGTGCGGTGCATCCCATAACGTTGCCCCTTGTCGGCCCCCATCGGCTTTTTTTTTTTTTTGTGGTGGATTCAGCATGTGGAATCAGCGTTGGTGATGGCAGAGCGCATCAGCTAAATTCAACAGGGGGTGAGAAAAAACCAACTTGTTCCATGAGGTAAGATTATTTTTCTTCAGCATAAATGTTTCCTGATGGTTTATGTTATTGTTCAGTAGCGCTTGGTAAATTTGCTCTGTTCTTTCAGATGTGTTGTTTATGTGCTAACTGGCCAACTAACAGATGACCGCCATATGCTTGTGTGGAGAGTTATTTCATTTCACCCGAGCGCAGAACGTACGTGCTAGTTGGCTGTAAGCTGTAGTCTTTACGGTGTGTTTATGTGCAACTTTTTGGCCGAGACCTAGTGCCATCAGGGGACACAGCAGGGAGCTTTCGTCCCCGCTAGTTCTCTGAAGTGGGTTTGGTTTTTGTGGGCCTTAAGATTACATTCACACCAAATCAGACATTGTGGTGAGCAGTTAGCTAAAAGGATGTGCTGGATGTGGAAGTGTCACTTAAATGGCCCATTTGTGGGGGAGTGGATTGTGGAGACTAACTATAGAAAGCCAGTCTCCACATCTCAGCAACTGAGTATTCGTCTGTTCATGTCGGCTTAAAAGATGTTTACTTTTAATTATCATTACTGTAGTATCTTTACTGCTACAAAAGACACATTGCAGCATGGTGGTGCAGTGGTTAGCACTGTCACCTCACAGCAAGAGGATTCCTGGTTCAGATCCAGGGTAGGGGGTTTGAACCCCGGGGTGAGTTTGCTCATACATGAACAAAATGAGTGGTCTTCTTACCCACAAGCTGTTACTACATACTTTATTGCTTTCACACATTCTAATATTTAATGATAGAAATAGACTGTAGTACTTATTCCTGTGGAATGCGGATGTCTTCCGTTCTGACTGACAGTTAAGTGACTGGCCACTGCAGAGTGATGTCTGGTTGTGTTTCTCTGAATGTTGATTCTATTTCAACATTTTGCAGCAGGCCACTGTGGTAATCGCCATATCCTGTGGCCCCCACCGCCACAGCACAGATACACTGCCAACATTCAGATGAATGGGAGGACTGGCATTTCTGCTGTAATGTCTGATTTGATGTGAATGCATCTTAAATGACTTGTGTATAGTATGACCATATTGGAAATGGGAAAAAATGGTGTCTATATTTAATTCTGTCCTCTTCCTTTCTTTATAAATGCATATTGGCGCCTGGATATGGAATTAATTAAAATAAACAAACAAACACATCAGCAGCATATATAATACTGTGAAAAGTAAGCAGGTAATTACAAAATTAAAATCTAGTATATCCCATTCTGTGAGGTTACATCAGTATCTCTACCAACGAACACAGAGACAATATTTTCACAGCAAGATTTTATGTTTTTAAATGTTCTCTTGATTTGCTTTGGCACTTTTATATTGAGTAATATCAAATGGTTTTCTCTTTGAAGTGAGAAAGGTCACATTTGTCAGTATTTTCAGCATCTCATTTTATTAGTTTTGCAGACATTTCTGTTATCTATTGCTTTTATGCTTTCTCTCCCTGCATTGTAGCAGCAGTTCATTCCTCCTCGCCTCCTTCATCTAAGCTGTCAGTTATAAGGTCGCATCACTCACATGTCTGTCATTCACTCCAGCTGTCTGGGTGATACTCATTACACTACAATTGGGGGAACAATTTCCTTCCTATTAAAAGTCCTCCACTAGTCCTCCATTAGCTCCCTATCTCCTGTTGGCATAGTTGTCCTCTGTCTTTGTCCCCTTGAAAGTAACTTCATTATTACATGTCATGTCAGTGAGCAGGCAGCAAATCAGCAAAGTCAGTCCTTTGATCACTGTCCACGTTATTAAATGCAATTTCAGCATTCACCTTGCTTTTCCTTCCTCTCCTTGTTATTTTGTGTCCCCCCCTTTGCCGTCAATAAACGTATTTGTGCCTTGAGCTTTTGTTTTGAAAAGGTTATGACAATAAACTCACACTGATTCCCCTGAGTAAACCATACAGTGGCTTTTTAGACTAGCACCAAGACTACCCTATGAATTTGAACAGCTATTCAAGAGGCAGAAGATGAAACTCATCGTGTTCACAGCAGCTTTCACCAGAGCAGTCTGTAAGTGAAAGTGTGATTTCATCA